ACTGGGAGGTAGGACAGAGCCGTTTCCACCTGCATGTGATGGATGTGGGAGTGAGACATACGAGGTCCACAGCGGGGTACAGCTGAGGACAGAGCCTGATCCTGTGCCTCACCTGCAAAGCCACCTGTGCATGTCTCCTCTCGGTTGAACGTGCTCCTTGGCTTTGTTACCGGGAGGGACAGGGAAGGTCCTTTGTCCACCCTCAGCATAGCTGTCCTCTTCCCCTACTGGTGGACACTGTCAGGAGAGACCCCGAGCAAGCAGGGCTGGGGATCACAGCTGCACCCCACCGTAGTGTCGTCCTCCTTCCGGGGCCTACCATGGAGGAGTGGGCTTTATTCTCAGGGGCGCTTTTCTGTCCTCTCCTGTGATCTCACAGGATCCACAGAACAGAAGGGCGGTGTCCTAGGATGCAGTGGCCAGCAGTGAGCCAGGTGCCCACAAAGGCCAGGCTCACAGGGGGTGGGGGGTTGGTATGTGCTGTGGACTCAGGGACACTTCTGAAGAGCCTAGAGTAAGTCCCGTCCTGGGATCCTGGAGTGAGGACAGAGCCTCCTGCCTGAGGATCCGTCATGACCCTCATCAGGCAACTAACACAACAAACCAAGTCACACCTGGATGCCTGGTCCGTGGTCTGGACCCAGGCCCTGTTACATAGGAATTTATTTTCTCTTTATAGGATATTACCGAACACCCCAACACACCTTAATTTCACTGTCGTGGATAAGCTACTATAAACAGATGGTGGATTTAACTAACGGAGTAGAAAACATCCTCATTCCATGGAGCAGGGCTGCAAGTGCAGAAGGCTCTGGCTATGCGCTCATTCATTTGATGTGTGCGCGTTGACCGACAGCAGCACCAGGACCGACAGGCCTTTACTCTGGGCGCCTGTGCTGTACGTGCCAGGGAAGTGTTCACAGGGTCCCCAGACGGGGACAGATTATAGCCCAGCTCCGACCCCACAGCACTGCATTAGCAGACACTCCTCACTACATAGAAAGCCAATGAAAATTCCCTTTCCTCATGAAGAATTTTCCTCTGTACACAAGTACTTACAATTTTTTTTAAGATTTTATTTATTCATGAGAGACACACAGAGAGGCAAAGACACAGGCAGAGGGAGAAGCAGGCTCCCTGAGGGGAGCCCGATGCGGGACTGGATCCTGCAACCTCAGGATCATGACCTGAGCCGAAGGCAGATGCTCAACCGCCGAGTCACCCAAGTGTCCCACAGTACTTATACTTTGAGATACTCAGATTAGGGGCAGGAGTGAAGAGGCATCAGATCACAGACCCAGGACACATGCCACCCAACTGACTCCCGTGAGGTGGCTGGTGAGGGCCCTCGACCTCGTGAGGGACATTTTCAGCATTTATCACCTTACCTGGCACCAAGTCCCTATTCAACTCCTGTCATTACTAAATGCAACAAAAGAAAGTCCCTTTTTTCCATTGTTCTCTGGAAAGCGCTAGGGCCCTACACTGCAGCCCTCACCCCCCACCCCCGCCAGGCTCCTCCATGTTGGCCTCCCCAGGGGTCACAGGAGTGAGAAGAGCTGAACCAGAAGAGAGGCCAAGGGGGCCTACATTTTAAAGAATAATGTCTATTTTCATCTAAGCACGTAGTTCGAAATGCCAAAAGCGACCAGAAGCCCTGTGCCAAGCACGGGTGGCTCAACTTCAGCCCTCGGCTCCCTTGGCCAAGGCGAGCACTTTCTCCTTTTTGGTGATTTACCTCCATGTGTCCAAATTACGTCTCTACGGCTTTCTTGATCTGTTCGTGTTCGGCATCTACGGCCTATTTCATCGTGAGACACAAGACATGGCTCCCACCCCCTCCCCCTCCACCCCCCCCCCCCCCCCGGTGTCTCTCTAACCAAGTTGTATTAAGTCAGGGTTTCAAGCTTATGGCGAAATATAAACTCTGCTCATCGCCGAGTCTGGTGATGCGCTACGACGACACTGACCTCCCCGAAGCTTTGGTTTTTCCTAGAGAGAACTGCCTTGGGTTTGTTTTTTGTTTGTTTGTTTGTTTGTTTTGTTTGTTTGTTTTTTTTTTTGCTTAGCGCCTTGCTTTCTTTTTTGCTATTTGTTTTTTTATCTTTAACAAAATTACACGTGCGTATAGCTCCCAGTGTCGGTTCTCTAAGCCATATATTTTTTTAGAGACAGCAGCCCCTCCCCTTCTTCTCTCCGTGGATTTGGGGCCAAACCTGGGCGCCACGGTGCGCTCACGGCCCCATCGTGCCACAGATCACCACGTTTTCCTCGTCCTCTTCTCGGGGTTGCCACCTCCAGTCTTGTCGTTTTGGCGTTTCAGTCTCCGGCCTGCGTCCCGGGTCCCGGCACGTCCTGATGTTCTGAGTTTAGGCCTTAGTGACCCGAGGGGGAGGAAGCCCCGCGCTGCCCCGCCGCCGCCGCCGCCCTGGGCGCACCTGGCAGCCTCGCACCTTCTCTCTCGTCTCAGTTGTTCGGGCGGGAAACTCCGCAGACCGGAGGCCCATTCCCAGCACGAGCTTATTGCCCAAAGTTCTGGAGCCGGGGGGGGGGGTGTCAAGGCGCCCGCGTGGCTGGGACAGGCCCCTTTCGTGTCACAGCCGGCGCCCCCTCTGCGTCCTGGCACCGAGGGCGGCTGCGGAGCTCCCGGGGCCTCTTCCACCGCTCGGCAGGTGCCACTCGGGGCCGCACCCCTCTTGTTTACCATCTCCCGGGGCCCAGGGCTTCAACCTGAGTTTAGCTGGGAGCACGGAGAGGAGCACGGAGAGGAGCACGGGGAGGACGGCGCCTCCCGGGGAAAACGTGAGCTGGACGGCGCTGGGAGCTGGCCTTGCTCCCCAGGTGTCCCAGCCCCAGGCCGCCCCCCCCGGGGGGCTCTCCCGGAGGCCTCAGCAGGCTCATCACCCTCCCCGCGCCCCGAGGCGGGAGAAGACGTGCACCTGTCAGTCCCGTGACCACAGTCGGCGGCAAAGAAGCTTCTGAAACCGACTGCAGTGGAGGCCACGTGCAGCTAAACCCCAAGGAAGCAAAGAAGGAGGGAGCGGCCCGGCATGGCCACGTCGTCGCGGGTCAGCCCGCAGCGGCAGCAGGGCCCCAGCGCCTTCAAACAGGTGCTCGTGCAACCTCCTGCTCGTGCAACACGTCCGGCTCGCTGGCGCGCGGGGCAGCCACACCGCAAGCTCTGCCAGGGCCCGACCCGGACGGAGGGACAGGGAGGGGGCCGACACCTGCCGCGCCACCCAGCAGCAAGGGAACCAGAGGGCAGCCTCCCTGGGGCACAGAGGCAGGACTTCCGGAACGTGTGGCGAAGAGCACGCGTGGTGGCGGGTCAACTGTCAGGTCACGTATCTCTGACACGTAAGTGTCATTCGTGGCTGAGCCGTGTGGCATGTTGTGATGGCTTTGCTGCTTTTGTAAAAGCTTCTGGGTTTCCTGGATGGGGTTTGTGTGTGTGAGTGTGGTCTTTTTTTTTTTTTTTTTTTTTTTTTAGTTTTAATTAAATGCACTTATTGTGAATCTATCCTGAAGCCCTTCCCCATTGCTGTGCTCTGTTTTGTGGATTTGTCCTTTCCTCTTTTGTTTTTTTTTAATTTTACTCATGAGACACAGAGAGAGACAGAGAGAGAGAGAGAGAGAGAGGCGGAGACACAGGCAGAGGGAGAAGCAGGCTCCATGCAGGGAGCCCGACGCGGGACTCGATCCCAGGATTTTTATGTGTGTCCTTAGCAATATGAGCCCTTTCTGTCAGCTCTCCTGGGCTACTTGGATGTCTGGGGGATGAGGTGCCAAGAACTCATGGAATGTCCCAGAAAGTCCTGCTCACGGTATCAAGTCCTTCACTATCTGGTTTGTTTTGATTTTGTTTTGTTTTTGAAGTAAGCTCTATGCCCAACATGGGGCCTGAACTTGCAACCCCGAGAGAGTCACACACTCCACAGACTAAGCCAGCCAGGTGCCCCGAAGAGCATTTCTTTCTTAAGTACACCCAAAACATAAAAGTGCCAACGGACTTCGTGCCTCGGGGGCCCTGTCCAGCCCACCTGCCTCTGGAGCTCATGACAGCAGCCTGCTGGGCAGGGCAGCCTGGAGCCAACACCATTTCTGCCAAGCACTGACCACCTGGCTTCAAGAATGTACAATGTCTGAGGGGCTGCTTTTATGATAGTTAGAATTTATTATTATTTTTTAAAGATTTTATTTCTTTATTCATGAGATACACAGAGAGAGGCAGAGATACAGGCAGAGGGAGAAGCAGGCCCCGTGCAGGAAGCCCAATGCGGGACTCGATCCCGGGACTCCGAGATCTCATCCTGGGCTGAAGGCAGACGCTCAACGACTGAGCCACCAGGCACCCCAAGACTTTATTTATTTATTTGAGAGTGAAAGTGAGCAAGAGAGAGAAGGGGCAGATGGAAAGGGAGAAGCAGAGAGCCCGATGTGGGGGCTTGGGTTCAAGAGCCCCCCAGGCACCCCTGGGTTTTTCTTTTATTTTTCAGGCAATGTTTTTTGTAGGTAGTTTTCAGGATGCCATTCTTTATTACTCAGTTAACTCTCTGTTAATTCTTTTTTTTTTTTTTTAAGATTTTATTTATTTATTCATGAGAGACATAGAGAAAGGCAGAGACACAGGCAGAGGGAGAAGCAGGCTTCATGCAGGGAACCCGACGCGGGACTCGATCCCAGGACCCCAGGACCACTCCTGGGCTGAAGGTGGCGCTAAACTGCTGAGCCACCCAGGCTGCCCTGTTAATTCGTTTTTTTGTTGTTGTTGTTGTTCGTTTTTAAAGATTTTATTTATTTATTCATGAGAGAAGAAAATGGTTTTACCTTTTCTTCCTTATTTAATTAACTGTTAATTAAACATTAGTTGTAATTACACAACTAATATAGTGTCATAAAAATTTCAATAATAGGTATAAAGTAAAAATACTGAACCAGGGGTTTTATACATAAATGTTATATAAATACAGCTAACTTACAAAAACATGATCACTCCATCATTCTGTTGAGCACTCATTTATTTCACGTAGAAGTCCTTTTGGGTGACAGATTCATGATAGGCGCCGATGACGTTGCGTGGCAGACACTCCCAGCAGCACGCCGCCTGGAGAGGCGACAGGGAGCTGCTGAAGTGACCCAGCCTGGAAGGTGCCAAGGTCTGCGGGTGGCCATGCCCCAGCCCCGGGTCTTACAGGACCACCACGGGAGCCACAGAAGCAGCCAGCGGTCCAGAGCTGGGAGGTCACAGGGCTCGGTGCCCCGTTTCGAGCAGCATGCTTTCCAGAAGCAGCCTGCTGCTGGTCTCCACGTAGGGCTGGTGCAGCCACATGGACAAGTAGCTCAGGGTGAGGTCGTGGTCCGTGGTGTGAGCCAGCTCCTCAATGACCGTGCGCTTCAGGAGAAGCTCCTTCTGGTACATGTCGGAGAGCTTTCGGGAAACCTCATCTGAAACAAAACATCTCCCTTTAGGAGCAGAAATTCATGGAACTGCTCCTGCCTGGGGGTGAGGCGCTACTTTGAGAAGCTCCTCATTGAAAACCACACTCGGCAAGAACACGGAGATAAGGAAGGACCAGGAGGGTATTCATCATCCGGCTTGTGCAGATCAGTAGGATTAGACGGTGCGGGAAGTGTCATGAAATTAATAAGTAAGTGTGAACTTTTCTGCTCAACTCTTCAGTCTCGTGATGATCATAAACAGCAGATTCACCCCAAACTGACAATATTCCAATAACACATTACATCAAATGGTTTTATCCTTTTCTTCCTTATTTAGAAGTGAGGTCTCAAATCAGCATCAAATAGGTAGGCCCTTCTTTTGAACTAACAAAGCTAAAGGTAACTCTGAGGGGCCACTGCGTGGTTTAGTCAGTTAAGCTTTTTTCTTTTTAAATATTTTACTTAAAAAAATAAAATAAATATTTTACTTATTAGAGAAAGAGTGAGAGAGTGTGCACGGAGGGAGAGGGAGAAGCAGACTCCTCGCTGAGCAGGGAGCCCGATGCAGGACTCGATCCTAGGACCCTGAGTTCATGACCTGAGCTGACAGCAGATGCTTAATTGACCGAGCCACCCAGGTGTCCCAGCAACCAACTCTTGGTTTCAGGTCAGGTCACAATCTCAGGGTTGTGGGATCAGCCCTGCATCAGGCTCTGTGCTCCGCAGGGAGTCTGCTTCTCTCTCCCTCTCTCTCTGCCCCTCCCCCTGCCCTGCTTGTGCACATGCCTGTACTTCCTCTCTGTCAAATACATAAATCTTAAAAAAAAAAAAAAAAAGGTAACCCATGTTCCAGTAGTTTTCTTCTGTGGGGTTGGCTGAACTGACCTCAATTTATCATTTTTTTCAATGCAGGGCTTGAACTCATGACCCTGTGATCAAGACCCGAGCTGAAATCAAGAGTCAGATGCTCAGGGTGCCTGGGTGACTCAGTCGGTCTTTAGCTCAGGTCATGAGATTGATCCCTGCATGGAGGGGTGGGGGGCGGTCCTGCTCAGCAGGCAGTCTGCTTCTCCCCTGCTCATGCTCTCTCTCTGTTAAATGAATAAATAAAAAAATCTTAAAAAAAAAAAAAGTTGGATGCTTCAGCAACTGAGCAACCCAGGCACCCCCAAACCCATCTTTCTACAAAAGAAAAAAAAAAATTCTGCTTCTGCAGAGGACGTGGAATTCATTGTACCCATTGTTTTTTTTTTCTTTAAAGGTTATTATTATTTTTTTTATTAGGTAATCTCTGTGGCCACTGTGGGGTTTGAACTCATGACCCCAAGATTAAGAGTCACTGGCTCTATGGACTGGGTCCAGCCCAGGTGCCCCAACCACTTGGTGTTTGTTTGTGTGTGTGTTTTTTAAGATTAATATTTATTTATTTATTTATTTATTTATTTATTTATTTATTTATTTGACACAGAGAAAGAAAGTGCATAAGCTGAGGGAGGGGTGGGGGGAGAAGCAGGCTCCCTGCTCAGCAGGGAGCCCAACACGGGGCTCCATCCCAGGACCCCAGGATCACGACCTGAGCTGAAGTTAGGCACTTTACCGACTCAGCCACTAAGGGGCCGCACCTCGTGTCCCCAACCCCGACCACTTGGTTTTAAAGGGGTAACAGAGGCGCCTTGCTTCCCATGTCTGTAATTATGTTTAACATTCTTTGGTAATTATTGGAGGCAAGGAGAAATGCCTATTCTATCTATGCCCCTCAATCTCCTTCCCGTCCAATGGGTCCTCTCAAATTGAATTTCTTTTTTCTTTTTTTAAAGATTTTATTTATTCATGAGAGACAGAGAGAGAGAGGCAGAGACACAGGCAGAGGGAGAAGCAGGCTCCATGCAGGGAGCCCGATGTGGAACTTGATCCCAGGACCCCAGGATCAGGACCTGAGCCAAAGGCAGATGCTCAACTGCTGAGCCACCCAGGCATCCCTCAAATTGAATTTCAAAGCCTGTCAGCTTCATCAAGATCTAAAGAACACAAATGCCCTCATGATTTCTACTCCTGAGAATCAACGAGGAGAGAACTACTTACAGAAATAGGCTGTGGGCCATGTGTGAAACAGGGGAGGGCGATGCCTCCCGTCCCTGTAATGGTAGTCCTCTAGCTCACAAACCCCCTTGGTGGTCGAAGACAGCTTTTCCATTTTCATCTGGATTTTGGCCTGGAAAGAGATTAATTGAGAACATGAGAACCTCATCTGAAATCCATTCCCGTCTCAGATTCAATAACTCTAAGATTTCGGAGCTAAGATGTAGAAGTCTGTTGGGACCCAAAGTCCAATAACTCAACACTGTTAACTCTGTGCGCCACACATTTCTGGGGAGATGGAGGCAGAGAGTTGCTACAATTTCATTAATCTGCATTACCTCAGAAATAAACCCTGGATTTCCAGCACTGGAAAGAAAAAGCTTGCCGACTCCCACTTCGCTAAGATTTCTGAAGGCACTAACTTTTTAGCACCGAAAACCCGGAGGAATCACAAGGCAGGCTCCACTTTTATGCAATGAGAAGAGAAAGGGTATATTATATGAGTTCATTTCTGACTTTTATTAGCTGCCTCTTAGATTACTGAAACCTTGAAGGCTCAGTTTCCTCATTTGTAAAACAGTGGTAATGAAAGGCAGCCTGACACACTTGACACAGGAAGTGGTGAGAGCGGACGGCGACGGTGCTCGGGTGGGTGTGCTCTGCGGGAAGCCACTGACCACATCATCTGCCCGGCCACTGCAGGGGACCGGGCAACATCTCCACTGCGCGGATGAGCCAGCAGAGGCTCTGACAAAGTGCGTCCTTTCACATGGTGTGAAGAAGACCAAGTATTTCTGAAGTACCTAGTTGGAGCTATAGATGGATTTGTTAGAAAAAGGGGTGAAGTGACTTAAGATTTCAGTTTCAAGCAGCACAGACCTACTAAGACCACATTCTAACTCCTATGTATACTTAGTCCTAGGTACACGGGTAAGTACAGAGACCTATAAATTGTCAAAATCTGAATTCCTTACACTTGGTTCTTTAGCCACTCCCCCATTATACCGGAAGTGATATAAGTTTAGCTAACATTGACTTTTTTTAAAAAAGATTTTATTTATTTATTCATGAGAAACAGAGAGAGAGAGAGGCAGAGATATAGGCAGAGAGAGAAGCAGGCTCCATGCAGGGAGCCTGATGTGGGACTCAATCCCGGGGACTCAATCATGCTCTGAGCCAAAGGCAGACCGCTGAGCCACCCAGGCGTCCCACTAACATTGATTTTTAAAGGACTACACTCTTCTTCCCAATCTTTTTAGGTTTGCTATATCGCTTGGCCAAATCCCAGGAGGTAGGACTCAGCATTTCTGTAATAGAATTGGGAAGATCCTGAGGGCTGCTGAGCTAGGGAAGTTCAAAGCCAGCACCCCCACCATGCTTCCTGACCCCAGGTCTCTTGATGCACCATCCTGTGTTCTTTGCATCCTGCAGCTCCCTCTTGCCACCTAATTCAAAGCAGAGCTTATAAATGATCAGGAGAGTAAGAAAAATCCTGGAGGCCTGACCCAGGTCATCAACAGAGACAAAGGTTATGCAGTGAGCAGCCCTGAACCTGCAGGACGTGAACCTGCCCACACTCCCAGCTCAACCTCAGTACACCTCCTCCCACCGACCAAACTGCAAAATGTTCATCCAGATTAGGGAAAGGGGTGTGTGAAAGCCTCCTGCCAAGGTCAAACTCATTAAAGACATTCGAAGCCAAGTCTGGGAAATCACTCTCTCCACAAGCTGGAGGACAGGAAAAATGATATTAAAAAGCCTTATAACATTAACTTTTCGGTTTGAACATAGAATGAGAACTTGTTTCCAAACCTCTTCAAAATAGAATAAATTCACCGGAGCAGAGGATTTTAGTGCCTGACAGCTGGCACTCGGATCTTGGTTTCTAAAACCATGCTCCAATAAGAGCAACAGGGGCTCCTTGGAGAAATGGCTGAACCTAGGGTGGAGGCAGGAAATACATGGGATGGGCCTGGAGCATCTTGTAATGCTAGAAAGTAAGGAAGTGTTCGAAAACACCCAAACCAAAAACTCACAATGGTGGAAGCATGTCAAAGGGACAGAGGAGCCAACAGAACTCTTCATGGCCAAAGCAGAAACAACTTGAGGAACAAAATAAAGCAATAAATATATTATAACCAAAGTGGAAAAAAACAAACAAACCCCTTGAGTCCATACTGCTAGAAATAAATGGTCCAGTAATTAATAGGTGGGGGAAGAGAGGCAGGATTTATGTACATGCTCTGTCCCCAAGGAGGTGGGGAAGAACTTTCCATGCCTCCAGGGTGGGCTGTGTGCACAGCAGGAAAGGAGCTCCTTTTGCAGAGCAACCAGGGAGCACCTCAGCCAGGTGGTCAAGGTTAACACCCACGGCGATATGGCCGGGTCACAGTCCACGCCCTTGACGGGATGTGATGAGACCTCTTCTCTGTGGTTTCCCCAAAAAACCCACAACCCCTGCCAAACCAGGAGAAAGTCATCAGACAGCTCCCAAGTGAGAGGCAGCTGCAAAATGCCTGACCCGTACTCCCCAAAAGTGTCAATGTTATAAAAACCAAGGGAAGCTTGTGGGACTGTGCTGGCCCGAGGAGCCTAGGGAGACATGACGACTACGTTCACCGTGGCGCCCGGGATGGCAAGAGGGCACTGGGGAAAAGTGAAGGGAATGCGAATAGACTACAGCCTTCACTCAACAACAGCGCATCAATACTGGCTCACTCATTACGACATACGTGGCGTACGCGTTTGTGATGTGTAGGACAGTCGTGTATGAAACAGGGTGCAGGCTGGGGATGGTTTACGCGACCTCTGTCATACCTGCTCAAGCCTTCTGAGCTTGGAGACTGTCCTAATAAATAAAGTGTCCCTAAGAATATAGAGAATATGAGCCCCTGGGTGGCTCAGCGGTTGAGCGTCTCCCTTCGGCCCAGGGCGTGATCCCGGGGTCCTGGGATCGAGTCCCACGTCGGGCTCCCCGCAGGGAGTCTGCTTCTCCCTCTGCCTATGTCTCTATTTCTCATGAATAAATAAATAAATACAATCTTAAAAAAATAAATATAGAGAATAAATTCACTGGATCAGGACATTGTGGCTTGGGGAGTCTGTAGAGATGTGGGGCCCTGCCACGTCCCACAGCCACTTGGCTGTGGCTTAGTAACCCTGTGCCACGTGGGATGGCCTATCTTCCAGCTCGGGGGACTAACCTCGGGCCGGTATGCCTCTCCCTCCCACTCATACTTGCCTTTGAAAGAAATAAAACTCCCCTTCTTAGGAAAAAGGGAGTAGGCCCCGGGCTCAAAGACTTTGATGGGGAGGCAATATTCAGCTGGAATGTGTATAATGTGATTTTAATTGTATTATAGAAAAATGTTAAGTAAATAAACAGGATGGGATTAACACAAATAGCGAGGTAGGTGTAAGAAGGGAGGAAATGTGTGTGCACCAACGTAGCTCCGCCCAGGACTTCATTCCGCCAGGAGCTTGGTCATAAACCCACCAAGTAATCCTCCAGCCTTCTGGGGGCACATTTCCTGCCACGAGACACACCCCGTCCGTGGGAGCCCCTTCCAGCTCCGCATAGGACCTGCCACGTTGTTCCCTGGTGGGAGCCAAAGCCTCTACCAGGACCAGGGATCTCTCTTGTCCCCTCAGAGGCCTCAGAAAACCAGGAGGCCGCTTCCTTTCCCTGGGACAGCCTTTTGGCTGTGACGGCAGCTGTTTTGTCTACTGGTCCCCCCTTTTCTGGGCGAAAACTCCAGTTCCTCCAATTACATGTCTCTGACAAGGGTGGCCTCCCCCAGGTCCCCACGAGGCCCCTCCAGACACGCATCCGCACTGTCTCCCATCATTTTGTTGGCTGTCATGCACACAGCCCAGGCTTCATCTGAAGATCTTGGGAACTCGGCTGACCATGAACACGCGGCACCTACAACCCAGCGGCGACTTTCCCCTGACCTGCCTCACCCTGGGCCTGTGCTGCAGGTCAGAGGGACCAAAGGCAGGTGCCCCACATTTCCTCTGCTGCTGCTCAGTCCATCCTGCTAGCTGGGTTTTCTGGATCTTGACTCTCCCCGCTAACATCTTCCCACGCTGTCCCTCCTTGGCACAGGTTAGTGGGGCTGAGGAAGGAGTCCCGGGGTACCAGCCTGCCACTGAAGAATGGGGAGAACGTAGGATGGACACACAAAACCAACCAATCACTCCTGGCATGCCTGAAATGAAAGGCACACCCTCTCTTCCCCATTGGCTCCCCTCTGAAACTTCTTTCTAGCGGGTACAGTTATAAATGAGAGCATGTGATCTAACAAGAACCAAATGGCCTTAAAACAAAATCCTGGGGAGCCCCGGGTGGCTCAGCAGTTTGGTGCCTGCCTTTGGCCCAAGGCGTGATCCTGCAGTCCTGGGATCGAGTCCCAGGTCAGGCTCCCTGCATGGAGCCTGCTCCTCCTTCTGCCTGTGTCTCTGCCTCTCTCTCTCTCTCTGTGTCTCTAATGAATAAATAAATAAAATCTTAAAAAAATAAAATAAAAACTAAATCCTTTCAGATTTTTTTACATTTTATAAAAGTCACATTAGTATGTGTTAAAAATGTTTCCCGTTCTGACACAGCTTTGAGATTCTGCAACACGCTTCATCCTGGAAGGGAATGAGGGGTGAAGAGGCTCTGCGGGGGGGCAGTGGTGCATCAAAATGACAAACAATGCGGGGGTCAGGCTGGAGCGCAGCTGACTGAGCACCCTGCTTTTTGGCTGTCTAAATTGTTTTAATATGTACATCTGCTTTTTGTTCAAACAAGAATACACCTTTTTAGAAGATTTATTTATTCATTTACTTGGGAAGGGGGAGAGAAAGTGTGTGCAGAGGGAGAGAGAATCTTAAGCAGACTCTGCACTGTATGCGGAGCTGGACGTGGGGCTGGATCTCACGACCCTGAGAGCATGACCTGAGCTGAAACCAAGAGGTGGATGCTTAACCAACTGCACCACCCAGGTGCTCCCCGCCCCCAAAATATTTGCCATGATCAAATGGGTTCACTTGGGGAAAAGAAAACAAAGTGGGCAGTTTTCTAGAACTTACAGCTTTGTCAATTTCAATGGCTTATTTAGCCTGTGTCCACAACCTGCTGGTCGGTATCTGTGTGTCCAGACCTCACCTGCCAGAGACACAGCTGCCAACACGGTGACAGACCAAGAAAGCAGATCTCGCAAAGCCCACACCCTTTACTCTCCCACCTTCTAGTGTGTGGGGGGTCAACGCGAATTCGCGGACCCGTCTTGTTACCTGCTCGAGGAGCACATGGAGGGCAAGTGTGTCTCCCCGCAGCACAGCCCCAGGGCAACGTGAGGCAGAGCACAGAACAGGACAATTACCAAAACCTACTCATTTATTTAGGGGAGACTATGTAGCCCCATAAGCATCCTAAATATCCCAAAGACAGTAGTACTGATTTCACTCACAAAGAAAAGGCCAAATTACCAAAGTGTCCTCGACCATTTATTTTCTCATTTTAGTGTTTCTGAAGCCCTAATGCATCTTATAATTGATGTGATATTTTATTTTTATTTATTTATTTTAAAATATTTTATTTATTTATTCATGGGACACAGAGAGGGAGAGAGGCAGAGACACAGGCAGAGGAAGAAGCAGGCTCCATGCAGGGTGCCCGCGGTGGGACTCGTTCCCGGGTTGCCAGGATCACGCCCTGGGCCGAAGTCGGCGCTAAACCGCTGAGCCACCCAGCATCTGTGATGTGATATTTTAAATTGGGGGCACCTGGAGGCTAGTAGGTCAAGTGTCTGACCCTTGATCTCAGTTCAGGTCTTGATCTCAGGGTCGTGAGTTCAGGCCCTGCATTGAGCTCCACGCTGGGTGTGGAGCCTACTTAAAAAAAAATAAAAGGGGTAGTGTTTTTTTCCCTGAAAAACTCTTTTACACTGCTAGTCAGCTTTAGAACAGTTAGAATCCTCAATCTGAGCAACTGGTATCTTGAAGAAATATAATCATGCTCCACATATTCTGTTAAATAGGTAAGGAATCATGCTAAGTATCAGAAACTTTTCCATCAAAAAAGATTAAAGGATAAAGATTTCCAATGTTCATGGGTAAGTTTTAGTTACCCAAGTGCGAGAATGTGCCCGGCAAGGAGAGGAGGGGCTAAGTCTACATTTGGAGGCAGGTATGGTAGGTACTGGAACCCAGTCATTAGTTAGACATTGAGAGCATCTCTCCTGTGCTGGCAGGGCCCACAGGCCAAATTAGCCCACACCCGACTTCCGTATGGTCCAAGAGCTCAGAATGAGTTTTACATTCTGAAATAGTTCAAAGAGAATGTGAAAAGAATATTCTACGACACATGAAAATTATTAACATTTCAGCGCCCATAAATAAAGTTTTATTGGAACATAGCCATGCTGACAGAGACTTGAACTACCTCCATTTGTACATCCTGGTGATGGAAACCAAAACTACCCCCTCAAGCAATGACAACTACCCGGAACCGGCAAGACCCCGTGTGACTGACCCAATGACCGAGATCAGCCTTTTACTGCCCACCTGCATGTACCCACCGACCTCTGTCCCACACTCTCCTTACATAACCCTGTGGGTCTTTCCAGCACTTTGGAAATGGTCTTTGAGACGTGAGTCCACCATCCTCCCAGTGTCAGCCTCCTGAAATAAACTCCTTTCTTGTGTCCCCACCACCTGTCTCTCTGCCTGTGGATTTTGTCAGTGGTGAGTGGCCCAGCCTGGCCTGTTTGGGAGCCCGGAGCCAGGTGCTCGTGCACCCCTGCACCCCAGCTATGATGCCATTCACTTCTATACCCTCCCTGACCCATTTTAGCACCTTGCTACCTGGTGGAGCCAGTGGTGACAAGATACGGTATGGCCCACAAAGCCCAAAATATTTACGGCACAGAGCCCTTGGAAGGGGGTGAGATGGACTAGATATCATGTAGGGCAGAAAGAACAAAGGTCTGGGACAGCATCCTGGGGAGCACTGAGATTTAGGGGGCAAGTGGAAGAGGCTAAGGAGAGAAAGATCGGTGTCAAGAGGAAAACACCTCCCATGGCGCGGACACCTGCAGAGCACTGAGGGAACCCCAAGTACACCCCTGGGCCTTGGTGACTGCGAGCACAGGTGGCCAGGGGCTCTGGATCTCACCAAAGCATCGTAGGTGGTCTGCAGCTCCTCACACAGTGCCTCCAGCTCCTTGCTATATTCTGGAAGCCTCTTGTCCGCATCTTCCCTGGAAGTCGGGCTGCTGCTCTGTAACTCTGTCTTGTCTTCACTCCTGGACAAAATGGAAAGGAGTGGAAACAAAGTACACTCTGAAAGGCACCTCACTTCGTTATGGCAGACCCTGGAAAGCATGATCTCCACATAACCGTGTCAGACTTAGGCACAGGTGTTATCTCACGTGGCTATAACATATGATTACTATTTATGTCCACAATGAGCACGTCCACCAGTTTTGCACTAGAGTGAGTCAGCTGAATGCAGCCCCAACGGCGTCCCCGGCCTAGGGCTCTGTGCTGGGCGTACAATGACGACTGAGACGTGACCATTTCCCCAGAGTTCACCATCTGGGAATTATTTGGTAAACTGAACCCTGGGGCCTGTGGGGCATGAAATTAATCTAGTGTGGTCACAACACTTCAGGGAAAAATTAAACATAAAAACAGAACAGACAATATCAGAAAGCTCCTTACGCAGGAAGGCAAAGAACTGTCTCTTGCTGGCGGGCCTCGGCAGGAAGAGGCAGCAGAGGACCTGTGGCATGTGACGTGCGGTGGGGACTGGCCAGAGCCGGGGGACAGCAGTTGAGACTCTCAACTCTAGCTAATGGACAATGACTTAGGAACACAGAACTGTAACTTTGAGAAATAAGAAACCATATATGTGGGCAGCCCGGGTGGCTCAGCGGTTTAGCACCGCCTTCAGCCCAGGACATGATCCTGCAGACCCAGGATCGAGTCCCACATTGGGCTCCCTGCATGGAGCCTGCTTCTCCCTCTGCCTGTGTCTCTGCCTCTCTCTCTCTGTGTCTCTCATGAATAAATAAATAAAATCTTAAAAAAAAAAAAAAAAGAAACCATATACGTAGGAAAGTGCAAAGAATAATGAAGCAAACCTTCCAATCAACCACTAACAGGTTTTCTCATGACTTCTTTGTCTTTTTTAAAGAAATTGCTGGGGAGAGAGAGGTGGCGCCTGGGTAGCTCAAGTGGTGAAGCGTCTGCCTTCAGCTCAGGTCATGATCTCAGGGTCCTGGGATGGAGCCTCGCAATCAGGCTCCTTGCTCAGTGGGGAGTCGGCTTCTCTTCCCTCTGCCCTTCCCCCTGCTTGTGCTTTCTTTCTCTCTCAAATAAATGAAAAAAAAATTTTTTTAACACAAATATCTTTTTTTTCTTTTTTAAGATTTCTTTATTTTGAGAGATAGAGCGAGAGCACAAGTGGGAGGGGCAGAGGGAGATGGACAGAATCCCAAGGAGACTCTGTGCTGAGTATGGAGGTGACACAGGGCTCAATTTCTGAGATCAGGATTGAGCCAAAACCAAGAGTCTGATGCTTAACCAACTATGCCACCCAGGTGCCCCTAAATAAGAAAAATCTTAAGAAAGAAAGAAAGAAAGAAAAGAAAGAAAGAAAGAAAGAAAGAAAGAAAGAAAGAAAGAAGAAAGAAAGAAAGAAGAAAGAAAGAAAGAAAGAAAGAAAGAAAGAAAGAAAGAAAGAAAGAAAGAAAGAAAGAAATTGCTAAGGAAAAATACACTCCTTTGTCTCCTCTACTTTCCATCCTCCACCTGACACCTGATACCCAGTCATCAAAAGTGGGGAGTGGGGTTCTCCACACCAAGTAATTCTCACAGTTGATGGCCAACAGCTGGGCACCCCACAAGTTAAGTCCATTCAGACAGTATCTACCAGAAACAGCCTCAGATCCCACAGGTCAACACTTGGACCCACAAGGCTGTCCCACTCAACTCCAGACACTAACGCCAGTCTAAGATGTTCCCTGTGCTTCTGACCAACAGGCTCTGAACCCCCCCTTGGACCTGAAGGGTTTGTTGGAGCGGGTCACAGAACTCTGGAAAATGGTTTACTTACTAGACTGCTGGTTTATTACAAAGGATATTAAAGGATATGAAAGAACAGCCAGATGAAGACATACATAGGGCAAGGTCCAGAAGGGTCTTGAGCACCGGGGCTTGGGTCTCTGTGGAGTTTGGGTGCCACCCACCCTTCTGGCATGTAGAGGTGTTATTGTTCACCAAACCAGAAGCTCTCGAAACCTATCCTTCTGGATTTTTATGGAGGCTTCATTACGTAGGCATGATTGATTAAATCATTGGCCATTGGTGACTGACTCAACCTGCAGGCCCTCCTCCCTCCCTGAGAGGTGGGTGAGAGGCTGGATCTGGAAGTTCACACTCTCTAACCCCCTGCTTGGTCCCCATGAGGCTTTCCAGAAGTCACCTCCTTAACATTAACTCAGGGGTGGCTGGAGAGGACATGTTATAAACAGTAAGACACTCCTTTCACCTGGATCATTCTGGAAGACAGAAGACCAAACATTATAACAGAGGATGCTCCTATTGCTCTTATCCGTCAGGAAGTCAGAAGGGTTTTAGGAGCTGTGTGCCAGGAGCAGGGAGGGAGACCAAAGAGATATTTCTTCCTATAAATCACAACATCACAGAAACAAAGTGCAACGTTGTGAAGTCCAGGCCATACTGATCTTCTGCCCAACACTCATCCATCCCAAAGGTGTGAGTTTCACAGCCAGAAGGCCTGTGTCCTTCCAATCCTTTTTTATAATTTTCTATAGACATAACCGTGAACAATATGTAGCGTAACTTTTTATTTAAAATAGACATATACAGTTTATACCTCCATACAACATTTTACCACTTGTTATTTTTTTTTTTTTTTTTTTTTTTTTTTTAGGATTTTACTTATTTATTCATGAGAGACAGAGAGATAGAGAGAAGCAGAGGGAGAAGCAGGCTTCCTGCTAGGAAGTCCCAATGCGGGACTCGATCCCAGATCCCAGGATCACGTCCTGAGCTGAAGGCAGCGGTTGAGCATCCGCTGAGCCAGCCAGGCTTTTCTTAATAGAATTTAATTTACGCATGTGGATTAAGACCACCATTCCTGCCCTAGAAGACTCCCAGGAGGCTCGTGTCCGATCACTTAGGGTGCGGGGCTTAGAGCACGAGGAGCTCTATAGGTACTTACCATAAACTGATTTTCAGGTTGGCAATTTTATTTGCGGTAGCAAAACCTGTGTCATTAAGGGTTTCCCATTTCAGGATTAAATTATGCCAATCAGCGGCATTGTCCTTAATTTTTCTCGCACTGACAGATAAGACAGGTTTTCTGGGCGTTGTTCCTCCAAGAGTGTTTGCTGATAGGGAGTAAAAGAAACATAGTTATTATGAAATTTGTGAAAATAAACAAAAGGAGCCTCATTTAAAATGGAGCGGGGAAGCCCTGAAGGGGCAGCTCCCGGGCCCACACACGACTTGCTGCGGCCCGCACGACCAGCAGGAAGAGGAATATAGGAATCATTATGACAAGGGAGGACACTTTTCACGTAGGAATTTCATTTCTGCTTTTGAGAAAAAGAAGATCCCTCCCCGCTCCAGCACAACGCACTGACTACCACTGGCACCAATGAGAAAGCCCCCGAACCTCGAACTCTTGCTCCCCACAGACATGTGATCAGCACCTCCCCACTGCCCCCTAAAACCTAATCAAAGCTGCCCTTCCCTTTACCTCTTCGACTGGCCTACGATTCATCGTGGCGAACTGTCCCGAACTGGAATTCCTTCGCTATTCCTGAACAAGCTCATTTTTTTACTTAGAGATGCTCTTTGCTGTCTGCAGTTTACATTACTTGGTGGTCAGAGTGGGGTCGGAAGGAGAGGACCCCAGGGGATGACGACCGCCAGGCCTGAGCGCGGTGCCTCCACGGAGCTCTCCTGCTCATCCTCTGGAGAGTCTCTCAGATGTCGAGTCCTCCCCTTGGAGGAGCACCTGACTATTAGGATCTGCTTAAAGTACTTGCTTTTATTTTTCAAACATCAGATTTTGAGTAATAGGATCTTGATTCTCTACTCTCTCAGAGGGTCCTCCTTCTGGGACCCCAGATGGTTTTATGTTTAAAAGCTATTGTCCTGGGAGCACCTGGGTGGCTCAGCTGGTTAAGCGTCTGCCTTTGACTCAGGTCATGATCCTAGACTCCCAGGATCAAGCCCCGCATCAAGCTCCCTGCTGGGGCGGGGGGGGAGTCTGCTTGTCCCTCTGCCTCTGCCCCTTTCCCTGCTCATGCTCTCTCTCTCTAATAAATACATATTTTCAAAAAAAGCTATAGTCCCCCCTCACATGCATTATTACTTACTTATTTATTTTTATTCAAGTATATTAATGTACAGTGTTATATTAGTTTCAGGCACACAATATAGTGATTCAACACTTCCATATACGCCCCAGTGCTCATCACAAGTGTGCCCCTTCATCCCCATCACCTGCTTCCCTCATCCCCCACTCACCTCCGCCCTGGTGACCATCAATGTGTTCTCTGTGGTTGAGTCTTTTTTGTTCGTTCATTTGTTTTGTTTCTTAAATTCCACATATGCATGAAATCATATATTTGTCTATCTCTGACAACCCGACATCAAAAAACCAATAATCTAGTTAAAAGATGGGCAGAGGATCTGAACAGACCTTTTTCCAAAGAAGATATACAGATGGCCAAGAGACACACGAAGAGATGCTCAACAGCACTGATCATCAGGGAAATGTGAATCCAAACCACAATGAGGTATCACCTCACACCTGTCAGAAGGGCTGGTATAGAAAAGACAAGAGGGGTGCCTGGGTGGCTCAGTAGGTGAAGCATCTGCCTTCAGGTCAGGTCATGATCTCAGGGTCCTGGGATCGAGCCCCATTTGGGCCCCCTGGTCGGCGGGGAGTCTGCTTCTCCCTCTCCTCCTGTCCTTCCCCCACACTTGTGCTTGCTGTTTCTCTTTCTCTCTCTCACATAAATAAATAAAACTTTTTAAAAAAGACAAAAAATAAAATGTTGATGAGGATGTGGAGAAAAAGGAACCCTTGTGACTTGTTGGTAGGAATGCATTTTGACTAAATGGACCAACTTAACCAAAGACAAGTCAAAACTTCCATGGCCATTATGGGGAATTCTCGACCCCCACAAACTTTTATTGGAACTAATTAGAAAGCTCTGGAGCTAAAATTAAGCAGACTCCATGGGATGCCTAATTTGATGGGTACCTGGAGGCTTCTAAACAGATTCAGGACTCTCAAGTTGCCTCTTTGTAAAATACTGATTCCAAATTAACCAAGTGGAACAAACAATTAAAGAAAGACGAAGATCTTCTGAGGCCTTGTGCTCTCCTCTCATGCTCTTGGTCTCAGGGCACAGGACTGCCATCTTGCACAAAGCCCAGGGCCACCTTCCTCTTTCCCACATTGTCCCACTTCCTTCATACCCTGAACTTCCTCATTCAATCCTCTCTCTGAACGTCCTTCCCCTTCTCCCCAAGCCTATTAAAACCTGCCCCATTACCGTCAGACCCTCTGAGGATCCAAATGCTAAACCCCCAATTTCTCATGTGCTCTGGACTAAAGCTGAATTCGGAGCTACAGTCAAAGACTTTCCCGAAGTGAGATTTGGGAATCTTAGATTTGCTGAAGACCCTCGTAGATCCTCAGAGATTTGCTGAGTTGCTTAATATGGTGATTCAAACTTATCAACCCAATTTCTGAGATTTATACCCGCTATTACACACGTGTGCTGTCGAGGGCCAGTCCCAGCGCTGGGTGAACCTGCCACTCGGGAGGATGCTGGTGAGAGAGGATGCCAATGACCTCCATTCTGACCTCAGTCAGTACTTCCTAGATGACTAAGTTCTCCTTTCCAGCTTATCTCTTAACTCAGGCAAGAGAACCAGCTGGCAAAGCAACCTGTGAGGGGAACCAAAACTATTCCCTCAAGCAACAAGGGTGCCCCGAGTCAGCAGGACCCCTGATGACTGACACCAAGGCGATGAGACCTGACCTTCGCTGCCCCCTGCACGCACCCACCAACCTTTGTCCCACATTCTCCTTATATAAACCTGGAGGCATCTTCAGCACATTGGAGAGGGTCTTTGAGACATGAGTCCACCTGCGTCGGGCTCGCTGAAATAAACTCCTATCTTGTGTCACTACCACCCGTCTCTCTGCCTGTGGATTTTGTCAGCAGTGAGTGGCCTAGCCTGGTCTGTTTGGGAGCCCGGAGCCAGATGCTCATGCAGCCCTGCATGCTGGCCACATGGAAAGATCTCTAGCACCATAGATGGGACACTATCCCCTGCCTTGCTATATTATTGAGTTCCTGCAGGCGCTAAGTAAGGGATGCCCAAAACCTGCTGAATGCACTAAGATTCAAGCTTGTACCCAAAAGCCCAATGAACTCATGTGTGATTATTACAGCTGGCTCCAAATTGTTGTTTTTTGGTTTTTCTTTTCTTTCTTTCTTTCTTTCTTTCTTTCTTTCTTTCTTTCTTTTTTTTTTTTTTTTTGGAGGGAGAGAGACAGTGTGTGCATGCATGTGTACAGATGGGACAGGGCTAGGCAGAAAGAAAGAGAGAAAATCTTAAGCAGACTCCACACTCAGCATGAGCCTGATGCAATACTCAATCTCATGACCCTGAGATCATGACCCCAGCTAAACTCAAGAGTTGGATGCTTAACCAATTGAGCTGCCCAGGCGCCCCTCCAAACTGTTTTTATTTTATTTTTTTTAATTTTTATTTATTTATGATAGTTACACACACACACAGAGAGAGAGAGAGAGAGAGAGAGAGGCAGAGACATAGGCAGAGGGAGAAGCAGGCTCCATGCACCGGGAGCCCGATGTGGGATTCGATCCTGGGTCTCCAGGATCGCGCCCTGGGCCAAAGGCAGGCGCCAAACCGCTGCGCCACCCAGGGATCCCTCCAAACTGTTTTTAAAGAAAATTCTGGTCTTCCTTTAAACACTGTATCCACTTGGATTTGGATAGTTTTATCCAAATAAAACTATCCAACATGGGTAGTTTTTTTTTTTTTAAGATTTTATTTATTTATTCATGACAGATACACACACACACAGAGGAAGAGACACAGGCAGAGAGAGAAGCAGGCTCCATGCAGGGAGCCCGACGTGGGACTCGATCCCGGGTCTCCAGGATCACACTCCGGGCTGAAGCCAGTGCTAAACTGCTGGGCCACTGGGGCTGCCCAGATGGGTAGTTTTAAACTCTTTGTTATTAATGGGTCAAACTGGGATCTTCCCCTTCTAGTTAAAATCCCGGGACTCCAGGATCACGCCCTGGGCCGAAGGCAGGCGCTAAACTGCTGAGCCACCCAGGCGTCCCTATTGGAAAGAGATTCTTGATCCCACTACTTAGGAAGGTCAAGAAGACTTAGCTTTTAATACCTAAAAGAAAGCTTAATAAATCCCCCTGCCCTTGGCCATCCCAATTATCAACTTTCCTTTTTCCCACCTATATATGAAAAGGAAGGGAACTCCCTGGGATTACCTACCCCAGGTAATGGTGGATCTCCCAGGTATGGGGATCACCATCAACCCCATAGGGCATTACAACCAACAACAGGCCCTGTGGGACCAGGCACCGTGCCTCAGAGCCATTCCCACCACCACCCTTTTGGCTAAGGGCAGTGAGGAGACAGTCTGGACCCCAGTAGCCATCCCATGCCCTGGACAGTAGAGGCCCTCCTGAACACCCTTCACCCTCTGGCCAGTCGTCCCCCTCCTATGAAAGCCTCTTCCCAACCTCTCCTCCCAGAACTCCTTGCTGCAGTCACCTCCCTGTTCATGCCAACTCTGCAGATCGTGACTCCCCTCCATGATGACTGACAGGAGACTCCTTTGCATGACACTAACTTCTCATGGTTCCCTGATGGTTTTTAGGTGAGAGGTAGAAATGGTGAATGTTGTGCTGGATATGCACTTGCAACTCCCTTTGAAGTAACTGAGCAATACTTTTGCCTTAGGCTACTTCTCTCCAACAAGCTGAGCTGTACACCCTCACACGGCATGCTCGCCAAGGGCACAACTGCCTACATTTACTCTGACAGCAGATATGCCTTCAGAGTGACTCACAATTTTGTGATTATGGAAACAATGCGGCTTCCCACTTTTAGCAGGGAGAAATTTTCAAATGGATTTTATGTCCAAAATTTATTAGGTGCTATACTCCAATCAGCTGCTCTGGCTATTATTATTTTTATTAGAGATAGAGCATAAAGGGGTGGGGGGAAGAGGGAGAGAGATAATTTTAAGCAGGCTCCATGCCCAGCACAGAGCCTGATGTGGGGCTTGATCTCATGACGCTGA